ATAGGAGATTTGTTAAATCCTATGGGGTGATCATTAGACCTTTAACCAACTTTTTACAGAAAAATTCTTTCCAATGAATTTAGAGGCAAAAATAGCTTTTTAGCAGTTGAAGAGAGCAATGACCACTGCCCCTATCTTAGCCTTGACTGATTTCAGAAAAACATTTCTTATAGAAACTGATGCATGTTCAAAAGGAATGGGGGCAGTCCTTATGCAAGAAGGAAGACCCCTAGTATATTTCAGTAAAGCACTAGCTCCCAAACACCTAGGATTGTCTACTTATGAGAAGAAATATATGGCATTCCTAGCTACAGTTGATAGGTGGAGACACTACCTTCAGGGAGGACATTTGTCATCAGGACAGATCATCAGATCTTGAAATACCTATTAGAGCAGATAATCACCGTTGCCCTACAGCAGAAATGGTTGGAAAAATTGTGGGGGTTGGATTATGATGTTTAGTATAAGAAGGGTGCTGAAACAGGATGGTTGATGCCCTATCCAGGAGTTTGGAAGATGTTGAATCTTCCGTGAATGCTATTTTTATAGTAAAACCCACTTGGATGCATCAAATCATCCAAAGCTATGAGCATGACCCTGTGACCTCTCAATTGATCACTGAGTTGATTACTGATCCTAATTGTAAGCCAAAATTTTCCCTTCATCAAGGTGTTATTAGATATGAACAAAAGATTTATGTGGGAAGAGCTTCTGCACTCAGAAATCAAATTTTTGAGGAGCTGCACCGGTCCCTGTTACGTGGACATTCGGGCCTACTAGCTACATATAAAAGGGTAAAAATACTTTTGTATTGGCCCAACATGAAAATGGACATATGTAAGTGGGTGTCAGAATGTGATATTTTCCAAAGAGTAGAAATAGAATCTCCAAGATTATTACAATCCTTACTAGTTCCTGAAGTACCTTGGCATGATATAGCCATGGATTTTGTGGAGGGTCTTCCATCTTCTGGTCAGAAGAATACTATTTTAGTGGTGGTGGACCGACTGACTAAGTATGGTCATTTCCTACCTCTGAAACATCCTTATACAGCTCAAGACATAATTAACATCTTGCTTAGAGAGATCTACAAATTACATGGCTTACTTAAGATTATTGTGACAACTAGGGATCCGGTATTTACTAGCCAGTTTTGGAAACAGTTGTTCAAGGCTATGGGGACTAAGCTCAACATAACGATTGCGTATCATCCCCAGTCAGATGGGCAAATGGAGACACTAAATAGATGCCTGGAATCATACCCACATGTTATGGTGGTATTTTCTAATCCTAAGCAGTGGGTCCAGTGACTTACTTTGGCTGAATAGTGGTAACAAAAATTACCACAACTCACTAAAGACCACACCTTTTGAAGTCTTGTATGGTTTTCTACCAACGCAGATACCTCTTGGCTCTTTACCCTTCAATTCTATCCTACAGCTTGTATAGCTCGAAGGCAGAATATGTTACAGAAGCTCAAGGAGAATCATCAACAGGCATATCGCATGAAATTTTATACATATAAAAATATATCAGAACGGGTCCTAGAAGAAGGAGATTTGGTCTATCTCAAGTTACAGTCTTATAGACAATCCTTAGTGGAGGTCAGAAAAAATTTCAAGCTTAGTGTCAAATATTAAGGGCCTTATAAAGTTTTAATGAAGATTGGAACTATGGCTTACCAGTTAGATTTACCATATGGATTCATGATTCATCCGGTATTTCATGTTTCCAGTTGAAGAAGAGAATCGGTCCAACCATAGATGTCTAACAGCAACCTCTAGCATGTAATGGTCAAGTACTGGTCCAGCCACTGGCAATTTTGCAGTCCAAATAGAGAAGGTGAACAATGCAGTGGGGGTTAAGATTTTGGTGCAATGGGTCTAACTTGGGAACCGACGAAGCCACCTAGGAGAATTGGGGCTATATTAAGGGGCAATTTCCGGATTTTATGGCCAAGCTCCGACCTTGAGGACAAGGTCAATTTCAATAGGGGAGTATTGTTATGATTTAGATGGCCGGAGATAGAGAAGAGAGGTGTAGCATAGAAATGAAATGGGGAAGATAAGGTTCAGACAAAGAGATTAGCATCACATATTAGTGTAGAGAGGACACGTGGAAATAGCAAATTAAAGGGATAAAGGTTCACGTGGATAGAGCTCAAGTTTAATAAAGTGAATGGTTGAGATGTACTCTTCATTAAAGGATATAATCTGACGGCAACGATTAAATGAAAAGCTAACAGAATTAATACCCAACTGAAGGGAGCAGAGGCAGTTATCATACCAGTAATTCTCAATCGCTTTCTAACTGATTTTTCTATTTCTTCCATTCTTCTCTCCTAATTCTCTTCTAACCTCACGCTTCATTCTTTTTATTCAGGAAATTAATCAGAGACTCCATTGTTACTAGTAGTTGAAGCTTGTAGCTCGATTCATCATTGTGCTGAATATTGAATATAATAAAATTCTTTTTGCCTCAATTACTTTTGTATTTTGAGTGTATTAAAAGTAGCAACTAGTGCCTCTTCCTGGAACCATGACAATTACTTAAACTAGGGTTAAATCTACTGAAGATTTGTTCAAGAAGCTTGACAGTCAATTACAAGGTTATATTATATCTAATGATGCTAAATGGAGGATATGAATAAAAAGTTGGATCTCCCGGTGGATAAACGCATCCCGAACCAGGATAGAATTTTGGGACATGCTTCAGCTAGGAATTTGGTGGAAGGTTCTGGCAATAGAAGCAGGATGGGGGAGCAATGTGACAACTCCTTGGGAAGAACTCAGTCGAACAATCACAATCAGAGGGTGAAATTCACATACTTTGAAGAAGGTTATTCGCGCACTTGGTTGAGGAAATGTGAGCGATATTTCCATTTCAATCATGTGACTGACCCACAGCAGAAGTTGGAGATGATTTTCCTTCATCTCAATAGTAAGGCTGAATCTTGGTTCTTCTCATATCACTTAAGTAAGGGGACAGTTAGATGGACTGACTTCACTGAAGAACTATGTAAAAGATTTACAGAGTCTGATAATAGCCATTTCAATCTAATGGGACAATTTACGAGGATTGAGCAGAAGGGGACAGTTACTGAAACCTGGAGAAATTTGAAGACCTTATGGCTCGGATCTTCATAAGAAATCCTACTATTCCTGAGGATTTCTTCTTGGGATTTTCCATTGAAGGATTGAAAGAGGAAATTAGGCATACTGTCAGGGTGCTTGAACTCTTTACTTTTAAGCCAAGCTGTTGAAAACGCAAGACATCAAGAAAAACTGTTAGACTCTACGAGTAAAAAGAGTAAGGTTATATGGAGTCGAAACATTTCATAGAACAATCACACATATACTTCTGGAAGTAAGGCTTTTGAACAAGGGCAAAAAAAGGGTAATTCAAGCTCAGTTTTCACTGATACTAAGCTATGGGAGACTAGGAGAAACAAGGGTTATGTTACAGGTATAGAGAGAAGTACGTTCCAGGGCATCCGTGTAAGAATAAGCAAATCAATGATATGCCTGCTTCCATTTAGGATACTGCAGATGAACATCAGGAGAATGTTCCTAAGAAGGGAAATGATGTTGCTTATCAGGAATCAGGTGTCGTGGATGAAGCTATTAGCTTGCACGCATTATCGGGAACTGAAGTTCCAAACAATATAAGACTGAAAGGGCAAGCTGGGAAGAAAGAATCAACCATTCTGCTAGATTCTGGAAGTATTCATAGTTTTCTAGATATTGAGACAGCTAAACAGATAGGTTGTCATATCAAGGAAGTTGTGCCTTTTGAAGCACCAGTCGCGTAGGGCGACCGAGCCAGGCCGAGTCAGCAAGGCTTTGATGACTCAAGGTTCATATTAGGGAAAGGAGTAAGGGGAAGAAGGGGCAGCCCTCGGCCCGATCCTATGATGGTGACTGTAGCTAATGAAAGCTATCTTATGAGTCTACACTCTAGCCCCAATTTAAATGGAAGATATAAGGAATATAATTTAAGGATCCAGTAAGGTTGGTTACTCTGGGTGGCTGTGATATGATATAGGGTGGAGATTGGACCAACTCTGGGTGGCTGTGATATGATATAGGGTGGAGATTGGATGAAAAGTTGTAATCTTGTACTATAGGACTTTGTGGCTTATGAGGCTCATGAAACATACAAAGGCATGAGAGTGGAACTGAGAGGCATCTACCATCAAGGCTCATTACAATCTATGTCAGAAAGTATTGTGAAGCAATTAATCAAGAATGATATGATTATAATACGAGGATGAAATAAACCTAGTATAATCCCACAAGTGAAGTCTGGGGAGAATAATGTGTACGCAAGCATTACCCCTACCTTTGTGAAGGTAGAGAGGATTTTTCTTATAGACCCTCGGCTCAAGGAATAATTAAAAGGAAGAGCCTTTTATTTTAATTTTAACATTGGATTGTTTAAAAGACTTGGAGGAAGAGCCTTGGAGAAGGGCATCTTTGTCATTTTAATGTTTATCCCAGGATTATTGTCCCACTCTTGGGATAGAATAATACCCAATTGTGATTAATCCCAGGATTGCTAATCCCTCGTTCAAAAATTCAACCAAACGAGGGATAAAAGAATCCCGCATCTAATCCCGGGATTATTATCCCTTATCGCACACACCAAACGACTCCTTAGGGTTACGGAAAAAGAAAATTGGTCAATATGCAAAATCTGACTTATTAAACTGACCAAAATGGAAATATCTGTCCATCATGAATACACATTCAATCAGTTATCTGAATACTTTAAAGGCCATAAAAGTACATGAAGTTTGAGGCACTTGAGATGCTAAAGAAAAGGAGGAAGGTGCCTACAAATGAAGCTGAAGATCTCGACCTAAGCTGCTATGACCAGGGATGTATGAGAGAGAACATTTGAAAAAGAAATCCGACAAGAGGCACACCATTTCATCCCAAACTGATTTTTATGGAAGTAAAAAGCTTTCTAGTGAAACCAAACTACCACAGTAACTGTGCTCAAGCAGCAGCAGCACCTGGTCCATTGCTCTTAGCTCTGCCTTTGCGGTCCCATATAGGAGTAGTCTCAATGAGCTTATGAGGAACTAGACGCCTTTCACGTTTGGTGAGCTTCTTGAAGTTGTGTACTCTCAACTTAGCTATCTCGGCCTCCTCCTCAGGAGTTATCTCCCTAACTACAACGGTCAGTCTACATTCTGGCCTCACTTTTATTCCACACTTTCCTTTAGCATGGTAGGACACCCTTTTTTTGAAAAGTCCTTTCCCAACAAAAGCCTCAGCTGCACCAAATATGAAAAGAATGAATCAGTCCAAGATTAGAAGTAAGAGGAGAGCACAGATTGTTNAAGGTTTAGAAGTTGCTTTCTCAGCTTCTTTATTTCCAGTATTTGATGTTAGAAGCGGTGTTAACGGGGAAGAAATTGGTGTAGCATCAGATGCGTCTACAAGTAAGGTCCTTGTACTAGAGAGCCCCTGTCAAAAAAGTAAAAAAAGAAGGGGAAAAAAAGCAAAAATTTAAACTATGAAATTGTTTAACTAATTTGAATTTTCTTTCATAGGATAAATGTTCTACAATAAAGCATACAAAGAAGCGTGCATTTATTGTTATTCAAGATAACAAATAGTCAAAAACTTTAGCCATCGACACTTGCATATCTGAAGTGTAAAGACAGATGTCAAACTGGCTAACCCACTCTTGGCGATGGCTTTTGTAAAAATGACAAAATGGTGACTCAAATTTCTAGTAGAGTTATAAAACTATTGCTGTGTATATTACAGGAAATTTATGTACAGATGGTTTTATCAATATTTCGATTGGGAAATAAGTTGATTGCGCAGCCATAAAGGATTATAGAACGAGTTTATATAGATTTAAAACATGATATATAAATAGAAAAAATCTGCCAAGGTGCTATATTTTTTGAGAATGGTAACATTTGTATTAATAAAAGTGCACTAAGGCAGTGCATAACCATATGTACAGGGAATAGTAGATCAATCTTGATCTACCTAATTACAAAAAGCCTAACATGTCTACCAAGGTGCTATATTTAAATAGACAGGATCAATCAATGCCTATGTGCTTAGGCAAGCACCTGCAACACTACGAATAGAATGTCTCATAAAATAGATAGAATGCAATATGATAAGTTGTTTCAAGTACGAGAAGTCAAAACAACAAAACTTAATTAAATAAAAACCAAAAAGGGTGGGATAAAGATTCACGACCGAATTGCCACCTGAATTCACTATACGTAGCCACATACATATATGAACTAAATTATATTGTAACATTACCAAATGCTGTAGATACTGGTATAATGGCCTTGAGATACCAGATGAAACCGTATTCTGCAATCTTGGCAAGTAAGGTGCCTCACCTAGAAAATACATGTTGCTCAACCATCATAAGCTGATATATGACTTGAGAAATCAAAAACGAAAAGTAACTGAAGGAAGAAAGTGAACACAGCCTTGAACCCTAACTAGAGGTGCTTCTATTTACGGGTTGCATTAACAATCCACAGCCGCCACAAGACATCAGAAGAATCAATTTATCAAGCTTCAACAGAGAAAGAGCCATTACCAAGTACTAGAGACGACTTTGAGTGATAATATGAATTGAAAGGAATAGTTCGACTTTGGTGATATCTGTTCCCAGCTTGATGGAGCATGCACTGAAGATGTCGTTGCCAGCCTACCATTTCTTTAGCTTATGAGAGGTCTCTCAATCAACAATTCCGCTAGACTATATCAGTTCCATCTATGAAGAGAAAAGTACAATAAATTTCACACTAGTATGGTGAGATAAATAGATAATGAACCACACTATGCACATAGCAGGACAATTTTCAGTCAAAAAAAACATCAGATCATTCAAATTAAATGCACAATCTAGTATCAATGCCCTTGTTAATAGGAGCTACTATTTCTTTGGCCTTCGCTGGTCTCCATAGAAAGATACGAACCAACTGAAGTAACAAAAAAATAGCACTTCATAAATGAGTTTTGAGTAATCACATATGTTTATTTGGAAGGACTCTTCACCAAGCACATGTTCTGCAATCTAAACATGTTTACTAAAAGTTAGAGTTAGCCTACACTTAAGAATTATTTAAATTCAGAGTCGAACATAACAATTGGTGAAAGATTTCTATATAAGCAAAAGTTACACTCAAAAGTTACAATTTCACTTTCTTTTTATAAGCATTTCGCTAACTAATCTATCTTAGTGTGAAGGGGAAACAAGAGAAACATTACAAATGGCAGCACTATAGAACTACTTTTACGCGCAACCCTCGTTTATCTGAAATTGGGACCAGCTATGCTTAGTGGAATTCAGTTCTCAAAAGTAAATATGAAATTTTCTATTCAGCTGCTATTTTATGGGAAATAAAGTAAATTAAAGTTCCTTCTTATCCCCTCTTAACAGTTGTTCTCTTCGAAAGCCTTGTAAACCTAACACCCTCAAAAATTGTAAGAGCGACGCCTTTTGAACGCAACTAATTTCTGTATATGCAAATGTGAACAACAATATATATATATATCTAAGTGCAAAATTGGCACAAATAAAATCACATGACTAACTAATAGTAGTACACACATTTTCAAGCTAAAATTGTAAGTAAAACATTGAATCAACCCCACAAGATCTGATAGGCATTTTATCAAACGGGTTTCATACAACACAGACTCAACTATAAATCCACCTCAGTTACCACTCAAATCAACTCTTTGAAAAATCAAGTCCCCAAATGAAGGGGAAAAAAGGAAAATAATAATGCATAATAACTTGTAAAAGTTCAAAGAAATAGACAAAAGTCGGAGTTGATGGTTTTAGAAACTTACAGGAATTCGCCATAGGAAAAAGATGGAGGCTGACGAGAACTCAAGCAAGTTCACGGCGGAGGGACTGTCAACTAGGCCGAAGCAGCTTTTGGGCCGAATAGACCCAAATTGGGTCATTGACGTCAATTTATTTGGAGGAAACTAGGCAGAAATTCAAAAATAGCAACGATTTACAAGTGGTCATTCAAACATAGCCACAATTTCAAAAGTAATCGAAATTTAGTCACTTTTCATGTAGATAAATCTGAAAGAAAACACTATTCAAAATCCGAAAAATATTTCAGCATAAGTATACTGGAACTCCAGTATATTGGAGTGCCAGTATAATATACTGAACTTCTAACATAATATACTGGAGTTCCAGCATAATATACCGGTCCAGCATAATATGCTGGAAGTTCATGCACAGGTGCTCCAATCTCCAGTATATTATGCTGGAACTTTTTTCGTGTTGGAGTTCCAGCATAATATGCTGGAAGTTCATACACAGGTGCACCGATCTCCAGTATATTATGCTGGAACATTCCGTGTTGCAGCAAAATAGTAGCTATTTTTTAATGACTTTATAAACGCGGGCTATTTTTGAATGACCAGTCCGAAAATTGGCTAGCCCGTACTATTTAAGCCCAAACTAATTACTCGTAGTAGAAATGGCATGGGGTAGCCACTTTTTAACGTGGTATTTAGTTTTTATCCAACATTTTTAATGTTTAGCAAAAATAGCAACTACTTTATTAAAATTAATACGAAAAGATATTTTTACCCTTTCTTCATGAGTGTTGTATAAATATTTAGGACATGGTGTCCTTAATATTTACACAACACTCGTGAAGTTAAAGACATCATGTCCTAAAGTTTAAAAATAAAAGGGGCAAATACAGGATACCTTGTCCTTAATATTTACACAGCACTCATAAAGTTAAGGACACCATGTCCTTAATATTTACACAGCACTCATAAAGTTAAGGACACCATGTCCTTAATATTTACATAGCACTCATGAAGTTAAGGACACTATGTCCTTAACATTTACACTGCACACATGAAGTTAAGGACACCATGTCCTTAATGTTTACACTGCATATATGAAGTAAGGACATAATGTCCTATAGTTTAATAACAGAAGATGCAAATACATGACACATTGTCCTTAATACTTACACACCACTCATGAAATTAAGGACATCATGTCCTTAAAATTTAGACACCACGCATGAAGTTAAGGTCACCATGTCCTTAACATTTACACTGCACATTTGAAGTTAAGGACGTGATGTCCTAAAGTAGAACAGAAGATGCTAATTTGGGATACTTTGTCCTTAATATGTATACAGCACTCATGAAATTAAGGACACCATGTCTAGCATGGTGGTATTTTTGTCCGGGTGGGGTAAAATTTTATTAAAGCGCTGGCTAAATAGTATATATATTTTAATCAATGACTTAAGAGTAAATTACAACTCTAATTAGTGGCTAACTGTGCACTTCCCCTTTACCCGTATCTATCCAAGCCAATACATGTTATAGTTTGAGAAAATGACACTTAAAATCCTTTTTAAAGACTTAATACCCAAAAAACTCTCATTTTTTAAAAAAAAGACAAAACATGTCCCTTCTGAAGATTTTAAGGTCAGACTGCTCCTACTTTCTATGCCTAGGCTTCACCAAAGGCCATTCTTTCTTTCTTTTTTAAATATTTTTTTTCATGTTTTTTTTTTTTGTATTTTTTAGTTTTTTTCCACCAACAATGTATAGATTGTTATAAAATAAAGACTGTAAAGTAAAGACGAGTATAAAGAGAAATTGATATTTTATTCAAACTTCAAACTTCTGTACATAATGAACTGAAAATTCCTCTATTTATAGAAGAAAGGAAGCTGATGCGTAAGCTGCTACTGCAAGCTGCTGTGTAAGCTGCTACTGCAAGATGCTGCGTAAGCTGTAAGCTGCTACTGCAAGCTGCTGTGTAAGCTGCTTGTAAGCTGCTACTGCAGGCTGCTGTGTAAGCTGCTATTGCAAGCTACTTGTAAGCTGCTATTGTACCAGATATAGATAATCTTCTATCGGAGGGGTTATGTTTATCCATAACGGAGTACCAAAATGATAAGCTTCTTCAGGAGGCTTATTTTCAATAAAGTACTAAATAGATAAACATATTTACGGCGGAGTCTCATATGGATAAACTTCTTCAGGAGGCTTATTTACAATAGAGTAAATGAACATCCATAATATAATATATTTATAATATTCCCCCTTGGATGTTCATTAAAAGATAATGTGCCTCATTAAAACCTTACTAGGAAAAGCCCCGTGGAAAAAAAAATCTCAGTGAAGGAAAAAGAGTACACATATTTAGTAATACGCATTGCTAGTTGTCTCATTAAAAACCTTATAAGGAAAACCCTGTGGGAAAAACCTTAGTAAAGAAAAAAATATATCGCGTATTTTACTCCCCCTCATGAAAATATTATTTCAAATATTTGAGTCTCTGCATTCCAATCTTGTATACCATCTTCTCAAAAGTTGAAGTTCGCAAAGATTTAGTGAATAAATCTGTCGGACTGTCACTTGAACGGATTTGTTGTACATCAATGTTATCATTTTTCTGAAGATCGTGTGTGTAGAATAATTTTGGTAAAATGTGCTTCGTTCTATCTCCTTTTATAAATCATTCCTTCAATTGGGTTATGCATGCAACATTGTCTTCATATAAAATTGTGGATCTTTTATCACATTCCAAACTATATTTTTCTTGAATAAAATGAATCACTGATCTCAACCATACGCATTCCCTACTTGCTTCATGAATAGCTATTATCTCAGCATGATTTGAAGAAGTAGCAACAATAGATTGCTTTGTGGAGCGCCATGATATGACAATACCTCCACATGTAAACACGTATCCAGTTTGAGATCGAGCTTTATGGGGATCAGATAAATAACATGCATCTGCATAACCAATAAGATCTGTACTACCTTTGTTAGCATAAAATAAACCCATATCAAGAGTTTCCTTTAAATATCGCAAAATATACTTAATCTCATTCCAATGTCTCTTTGTAGGAGAAGAGCTATATCTTGCTAGTAAATTAACAAAAAATGCTATGTCAAGTCTTGTAGGATTAGCAAGATACATAAGTGCACCAATTGCACTGAGATATGGTGTTTCAGGACCAAGGAGTTCCTCTTCCTCTTCTGGAGGTCGGAACGGGTCCTTATTCACTTCAAGTGATCTAACAACCATTGGTGTACTCAATGGGTGCGCTTCATCCATGTAAAAGCGTTTTAAGACCCTTTCTGTATAGGCAGATTGATGGATAAAGATCCCGTCTGCTAAATGTTCAATTTGCAGACCAAGACAAAGTTTTGTCTTTCCAAGATCTTTCATCTCAAATTCTTTCTTAAGATATTCAATTGCCTTTTGGAGCTCTTCTGGAGTTCCAACAAGATTTATGTCATCAACATAAACAGCAAGTATAACAAATTCTGATGCCATTTTCTTTATAAAAATACATGGACAAATAACATCATTTATATAACCTTCTTTCAGCAAATATTCACTGAGGCGATTATACCACATGCGCCCAAATTGCTTTAAACCATACAAAGATCTTTGTAATCTGATTGAGTACATTTTCCGAGATTTTGAATATGCTTCAGGCATTTTAAATCCTTCAGTGATTTTCATGTAAATCTCATTATCAAGTGACCCATACAGATAGGCTGTGACCACATCCATCATATGTATTTCAAGCCTTTCACGTAAGGCTAAACTTATGAGATATCAAAATGTTATGGCATCCATAACGGGTGAATATGTTTCTTCATAATCGACTCCAGGTCGTTGTGAGAATCCTTGTGCGACAAGGCGAGCCTGGTACCTTTCAACTTCATTTTTGTCATTCCTTTTTCGCATAAAAACCCATTTATGACCAGCTGGTTTTATACCAGTAGGTGTTTGGACTACTGGTCCAAAGACCTCTCTTTTAGCAAGTGCGTTCAATTCTGATTAAATTGCCCCTTGCCATTTTGGCCAATCAGATCTTTGT